AAAAGAGAGAAAGGCATACAGGTGTGCAGAGGATTCCTAGCACTATCAGGAAAAGACATTGTGCAATTATTCTGTCATTTTCTCCTTCCTGGATTTTCTACAATCAGGAAGATAATAGAAAACACAGAAGAACTACATCCATCTGTATGGATAAAATTCTGTGAATGCAACAGGGCAATGGCATAATAAAAACCACACTTGGGAGGACTTTTAGTCAGATGCAGAAGACATCTGAAGGAATATGGCCAGGGAGGTGGCAGAAGCAGCTGCCTAAGAATGAATGGCACAGAAATAAGGAAAGAGTTGTTGGCCCCCAAACGACATGCAGCAAAGCCTAGACTGTAAAAAAAGGAATACACACAAGTCTGTGGCAAAGGAAATAGGGAGCAAGCTACCAAGGTTTAGAAAGGGGTGAGTTGTGTTTCAGCCTTTTAGGTACCCACGGCTATCCTGCAGAGGTTAGAGTCAGGCTGGAGGATTTCCTTCACTCTTTCTTCATCTCCTTTGTTCTGCAAGCCTCACTTAGGAAGGGGATTAACCCACCCTCCAAAGCTATTTACTTTTCCACAGGGCTTAACTGCAGAGGGAATTAGCTTGCACATATCCATCTACCTATGCCCTGAAGTCCTTTGGCTGGCCTTGCCAGCCAAGCCAAAAATTGTGTTTCCCAGTTTCTCTCTCAACCCCACCCAGCAGAAGCAGCACCAGCACACCACAGCAAAAGAACATCTCTCCGTTTTCTACATGAGTAGAGCCTGATGATCGTGGAGATGAAACTAAGAGCAAAAAAGGAAACAGGATGCTTTAGCTTCATTTCAGTGTTTATGCTACCTGGGGACTGAAGTGTTGGCTCAAACACTGAAACTTTTAGGTTAAGCTCTTAACCTCTAGGACCTCTGGGAAACTCTAAGTTGCTACTCCAGGTATGCCATCAGAAAACAAACGTGCTCCTTGCTGTACTGTAAACTCTTGTCACCACCACCCATTCATTTGAAATGCTTATCTTCTTAGTGCTTGGCAGAAGGAAAAGTACACTATGAACCACTTAGAGCAAAACTAAAACGTTCCAGGTTTAAACACAAGTCAAGACATAAAGGCAAAAAGGACAGATTCTGACTGTGCCCAAAAGGAGACAAGCAGATGAGGGAAAAGTACAGGTCCCAGCCAAACAGTATTATGTATGGGACCTGGAAACCTTGGTTTTGCTCACTTACCATTTATCAGTTTTGTCTGACAGCTCTAACTCGCTAACTCTGTAAGAATCTGGGCTTTTGTTTTGAGATAGGTCAAATTAGTAGAAACCCAAATGGGATCCAAGTCTAACAGAAAAGTGGTGGGGGGTAGGGAGTAAAAATCAATGTAAGAAGCAAGCTACATAATTTTAGTGAAATCCTCTCATTGGAGCATTTAAGGATGGCTGTGATCAACTGATGTTAATATTTAGTGAATGTGGTGCTTTCAAATTATTGCACAGTAAAAAAAAAAGTTACATAACTTGGCTCTTTGGCTGGAACAGCACGCAAGCTGAATCTGGGGACTGCCCTGTATTGGCAGATTTAAATAACTGTTGAGTCATCTAATAACATTTCTGGAGATGAACAGATCAGAACTGAGGCTTATGTAGGAGCTGCTTGAGTGCCTTTCCACACAATGCCAAGCACATTGTACACTGCTCTGGCCAACAAAACGTACATCACTTCAACAGAAACAAGCATTCTATTCCCCATTGCCAAACATTCTCCCCCCAAGGGAGGCTCATTGTGACAGCAATGCCAAGTCTTTTCTTTTTTCACATACTGCCAAGAAGGTATAAATCCCTTGAGAACAACATAATAAAACAAACTGACCCCACAGCCTAATTAGGTCTGCAAACTCATGTGTTTTGGGTCTGTAACACTGCAAGTATAAAAAGATCACAAAGCATCCTCTTGACAGTGGCAAATAGTATCAACATCACAGAACAGCCAAGCATCATGCACAAGCAGCTCTTCAGAGAAAGCAGACAAGTGCTGTTTTAATCTTACCCTATTCCACCCCCACAAAAAGTACCACGCTGATTCCTTTACAAAATCTTACTGAGTTGTTTAACATTTTAACTCTCCCAATAACTTCTGTATCATCTGTTTTGACACTACTAATTAGGCTCAGAATCAGCATATACCACCATCATGGGAAACCACTAGCAAATTAGTTTGTTTGTTTTTTAAAGGGAGTCAAGAAAAACCCTTAGGATAATTTTCAGAGGAAAACTCTTTTAACAGCCTAAAATTTCTTCTGAAAATGCCAAAGTGTATAGAATGTTTCTGTTTCTCCAGGCTTTATTAAAATGTCATAAGGATACTCTTTATACATGTAAAATACATAGGGAATGCCTTTCGTCGCAAACACATTTCTTTTTATTAAACAGAAATAAAAGAGTCTTGTTATTCCACTACAGAAGTGGCTGGAAAGTTGGAATGAAACTTAGGAGATCCAAGTCCTAGTCCCCACTCAGACACAAAGCTCACTGGATAAAATGAGATGAAAGGATAAAATGAAGAAGAGGACCATATAAGTCGCCTTGAGTTTCTTGAAAGGGAAGAAAAGATGGGATATAAATATAATAATAAATATACAGTAGCAAACACTATGCAGAGAAAAAGACACAGATACCAAGCAACAATTGAAAGTAGCTATCACTGGCTTAACCCAACACTATTCCTACTATACAGAAGGAAAACCTCCAGATTCCCCTGCTGCGAACTAAGAAAGGAAATCTTGTCGCTGAGCAGCAGGGGGGAGCTCTTATCTCTCATCACCTGTTTACTGGAGAAAAGAACAATTCACTGTATAAAAGAGCAAATCTGCGGAGGAAGTTGCTGAACAGTTCAGTCCTGTTTATTTCCTGCTGAGTGGCTTTCCAATTATGCAATATTCTCCCATTGAGGGCTGCCTGGCACCAATGCTGCCATCTTTTGGGTAGCAGGTTAAAATTGCCCACTATTCCTGGGCATTCAGTGGCAAATGATGGGCTATGCTAACTGTTATAATTAGGTCTAGTTTTATTGAAACTGTTTAAGATGTTTAGACTGCATTATATTTTATATATTGGAATTTTAGATTTTTAAAATTAGTTTGCTAGAATTTTAAAAATCTATCTCAGATAGATTTATCTGAATCTATCTCAGATACCACAGCTCCTTTGAAGAAAACTTCTTTTCTGGGCTCTCAGCATCTGGCCAAACTGTATAGTAGATCATTTAAATGTATGCAAATTAGGTATTGCTAAGCACTGAGCGTAGGCTTAAAAACACACTTACAATGACAGCCTCTGTCAGGCTGACTTTAGAACGGATCACATGGCAAGCCTGGCAATCACAAAACTGACAGCTGTGCTACTCAACTAAATGACTCTGTCGCCAAATCAGTAGCTTTCTAAGACTGGCATCAATTTCTTTTCCTCCTACTCCAAATTAATTATAACCAACCACTCACATTAACAGAAACCAATGCTAAACCTGGTTAAATGTTCACTGTACTCCAGAATCATAGTGAGGCATTCTCTTAGCACTACCTTTATCAGGTGATTGTGTTGCTATTTTGTAAAATACCCTATACAAATAGGTGAAAGGTGTTTCCCCCACCATTTCAGGCACACCTGGCCAACATCAAGTTTCCTGGAATGTTTGCCCGTAATTTCTGACTTGAACATTTGCCCTTTACTCCTTATTCTCCCCACTCTCTTTTTTACACTGTAGGCATGAGTGACCAAGTGCTCTCCAGATGTTTTGGACAACAAATTCCTTACTTCCTTAACATAGACCATCCTGGCTGGACCTTATTTACTTTATTTTTAAAATTTGACAATCTAGTGACACTGTCTTTCCACTATCAAAATGGCACTTTGGGAGGTTAACAATTTATAGGCACCAAAACTTTGAAATAACACTTGATTAAAACGCAGAACAAAAACAGATTGTGGAAATTGTAGCTTAAAACATATGAAGTGCACCAGGTTGCCTAGCCCTGGCAGAGTGCACCAGCTCCTTGGTAGTATGGTAGTATAGTGTGAAGGACTCCTTAGGCTCAGGGAAAGGCAGACCTGTCCTGTCCTCAGATCCAGAACACCGCTGTGCCGCCCTTCTCCTTTGCCTAGGAGGATGAAGTCCAAGAACACTAGAGACAGCTCTCTGGTTCCACTGTTATTCTGCAGTGGAGACCATTCTACACTGGGGTTATTGAGACCTTGGAGGGAAAGAACAGATGCGAAGCATCCCTAGCCTTCAACTCTTAGGCTGCCGCAATCCACAACTACAGTAATTCCTCTGTTGCAGATAATCCTCAGTGAAAAACAACCTTTTTCAGAAAGTTATCAAAGGCAGTATTGTAGAAGTCACCTAATTTTTTGAAACAGTCACTGTACTTAATAGGTTCAAGCAAACTCAGGTTGCCTGCTAAGATTTACTTGCCTCCAGAATATTATGGGTAGGGTGTCCTACTGATGGGTTCCCTTAATGAATATATCTGATCAGGTATCAGGATTGGCACATTTTAAGAAAAGCTGGGTAGGAAGATATAAGCCTCAGAAGCAAAATAGTGATGGGAAACGCCCAAGCTCTTTCCTTCTACATGCAAAAGGGGCTGCCATCCATGAAAATTCACATCATAAAACTACTTGACATTCCTAGGGAGCAGTTCCTGCTTCTGCAGGAGCTTGGAACGAACTTCATTTTCTCTGAGTTATGACCAGGCTCAACATGCTACAGAATCCAATTATTTAAAACAAAATTAAAACTTAGCTGAGCTCAAGAGGAGGAACTGCAGAGAAGAATTTCATTAGCTATGACAGGTAAAGAGTATTCCCTCCAGCAATGATTTAAACCAACAGTGATGTTGCTCACCATAATTGGAGTGTAGGAGACTCATAAAATGCATAACTCCACTACATGACAGATTTGGCATGAGCCATACATTTAGGCTGACAACTTGCAGTCATTTAAAGAACACCCTCAATGACTCACCCAGCTGGATACGCAACAAGACCACTCTTAGGGTCACAGGCCAGTCCTCTGCCTCCAGAAACTGTGATTCCCAACACCTTCTCCAAGGTCACCTAATCAAAAGAAGAAAACAAGAAAGAAAAAGATGTGAAGAGGTTGAATTCAGCTCGCACACACATGCAACCTTCCCCTCTCCACACATACATCACTTATTTGTTTATACAGTGGATTGCCTCTTCCAGTGAAAGTTGGATTTAGCAAGGAAATCAGCAAAACATGCCACCCGGGTTCCAAGCTGTTCTCTCAAAGTTGATTGAAAATTTGTTGATGTGGAAGACTCTGCACAGAACTAAACAGAGCCTGGTCCATAGCCAGTGGTCTTATTGAAGGGAAAACCAAGAAAAGGCATGGAAGATGCTGCAGAGGGAAGTCAGAGACATGCAGCAATACAGGGACCACCCTGGCCCCTGCCAAATTTTTTACAGCATTTACGATAGCTTCCCATGAAGCTCTATAAAACTGTGGTAGTAACCATACAACATAGCATTAGACCCCTATGGAAACTTCTTCTCCAAAGCTTTCTGAAGAAAGTGGACAATTTTCAGGTAAACAAAAGCAATAATCAGGAAATGCCACCCATTAAGGCAAGGGTGTTTAAACCCCTTTCCACAAAGGACTGATTTGGTTTAGGAGAAGTTCATGGGGCTCCATTCCATTGTGGTGGAGAAGGCCAGGAGAAAAGCAGGGAAGCACCAAAGGTGAAGAGGGAAGAGCCAAAACACTGGCATGCTTTAACTTAAGGCTCTTACTGCCAGTAACTAAGCCTTGGAAGATGGATTTCAACTTTTCAGAATGGAGAAAAATGAGCAAAAGCTGGAAAATCACCAAATGATTAGCGGTAAGGGCAAGGAGAGAGGCCATCTAGGGATGTCCAGAGAGGCAGTTAAGGGCCCCTGAGAGGCCAGATCTGGCTACCAGGCCCAAGGATCTGAAACCCTGCTTTAAGGTTGCAGAGCATACCCATAAAACCTCTGGACTGCCTCTTCTCAAGCCATCTAGACCTATTCTTTATATTAGTAGCAGATAATGCGAATCACTCCATAAGAAAGAACCACACAAAGTAAGCTAGACAGCAGGTAAATGGATTAGCTTCATGGATGCTGATGAAAGATTTGAACTGGGCCTCCTATATGCAAACATATATATGTCTCCGGCACCCCACTAGTCTGTGCAATAAACCAGTCTGGTTTCTGAATCTTGCCTGTCAAATAGTGGCAAGGTGGCCAGATGGAGAGGAACCAGTTCATATAGGCTTAGATCCAAATACCTTCAAGCAGGAGAAAACCTATCAGCAACAGCACATGAACTATGCTTACGAACAGCAGCTGAAGCCTTCTCACAGAGCAGCATCTCAATGTTGCGCCTCCCTTTCTTTTATCAAAAAGATTGTGGCTTTTATTTATGGCACACATTCCTAAACCAGTTCATGATTTTATTGTGTTGAATGCTGAGTCTTCTGTTTTTAGTTACAATACAGTACTTTGTTATATCTTTGGTTACATCTCTAAAAGACCAGTAGGGATGGGTCTTTTGCCTTCATTATTGCTTCATAATTACTATTAGCCATCTTCCAGAGAGTCCAGCCTTCTAAAAGAAAACATTTTCCCACATAGAGCACTGCCAGCCAGCTGCAGGGCACACCTTAAATGTCTGTGGGTTGTATTGCCAGTTTAACCCATAAAGATATCTGGTTACAACAAGCTTATTTCTTTTGCAACATTTCCCACACTATAGAATTTCTTAAATCCTTTCTTCATATGTTAAATAGTTTGGCTAGCTTGCCCTAGATGCAAACTACCAGCCTACAGGTAAAAAGCTTTCATAACCTACTCGCAACCCTCCCCACCATCTTATTTGGTCCCACTCTTCGGCTTGAAGCAGGAAGGGAGAAGCTCCAAAAGGATGCTTCCCATTTCCAAATGTGCATCTGTGATTTTCAGAAAAGCAAAACAAAAGCATTTTTCCTGAGATTATATATTCTGAAAAAAGTACTGATACACAGTTATGCGAGCAAGAGCCAAATGATAACTTATTGCAAAGCAACACTATGCCTGCAGTCCCAAAAGAAAATGTTACCTTTGTTCAATTTGAAATTGTAACAAATATTGCATATTTGTTTGTACAATGATTATGTAAGTGTAGCTACCCCTTAGCTACAAATCATCTTGAATCTTAAAACTCTAGCAAATACCAACAGTAGGCAACCTGGTGCACTCTAGCTGTTTTGGATTATAACTACCACCAACCTCAGCCAGCATGTCCAGTGGTCAAGGATTATGGGAGCTGCAGTGCAGAATACCTGAAGGATAACAGTTTGGGGAATGTGGCACAGAAGTTCCTTCAGTGCAAGAACTTGTATGCACACAAGTTGCAATATGCAAGGACATACTGATACTAATCTCAAAGTTTGCTTCAAAGAGCAGGATCTCTTTGATCCCATCCTAATGCCAAGCACAAGGAAACATCATGAGAAGAATGCTCCAACTTTCATTGTCTCCGATCAATTTGTCCCATCTTCCCAGCGAAAGTATGGTCATATCCAGAAATCCAAATGTTGAGTCAAGCAAGTATCTGCTTTATCAGGTAACACCAAACCCACCCAGATGTCATCTGATTTGGGGGAGCTGCTGCATTTGCACCCTACTTACTTAGAACTGCTAAATCCTTACTTCTGTAAATGTTCCCAAGAAACAAGTTGGTGAAAAGGTTTTTTATGCTTTATGCAAACTGCTTTATGCAACCACATACATGCAGCTATGAAAAAAGGTAAACTACTCTGCTTACATGGAATAACCAAGCTTCCATTTTCAGTGTGGGTGAATTTTCTAGTACTAGAAACCAGCCCATGGTCTCTCACCTGCCTTCAATCCATCACAACATAAAAGGTGCTGGACCCTTTCAGCAGACCATCATCTGCTGATAGAGAAAGAGTGAAAGGCAATATTCAATGGACCATTCAATAATTTCTTAGCAAACCGTCTGGCAAACCTTTCTGTACAAAGTAGTAGAGAAAGATTTATAGCAACAAATGCACTTCACAAGCCAAAGAAAAATCTCCTTAATTTAATAACAAGAAAAGACAGCATCCCTTGTAATCAATAGATCTGCCACTCAAATGCACCATGCAAACTGTTATCAGCGCAACAGCAACATATTGATGAAACCAAACATTACACGTGGAAAACAGAAAGTACTCCGATGTCCTAGGAGAGAATTTGTTTACTGCAGTGCTTCATTTTAGTAAGGGCTGAGAGGCACTGAGAACCATAATTGCAAAGTTTTCCAGGAGCTGGGTCCTTGTGTTATTTCACTCAACCGCCTCTAGACTCTTTCCCTTTGCCTCTTTTAACTCCAGAAAAACTGCTAAACCTATTTGACCAGAGAGGAAACCAACACCAAGAAAAATGAAGGTGTAGTTCCCCATGCGGCCACCACTCTACTGTACTGCCTTCCAATCTCTGAAGATAGCTCCTCTGTGCACAGTCTTAAACAATGATTAGTCAATTAAGGATTGCTGCTGGGATAGTTTTGCAATTGACCTCGCTTGTAGAGGGGTGAAAGATGAGAAGGGAACTGTGTGGTTTACAAGGATCAGATGTGCTGAAGAACAAGTACACTCAATCCCCAAAATATATCTTATAAACATGCACTGTCAGCTTCAGGGTGTCCTGCATTTCCAGCTACAAGCCAATAAGAAGGGGGCTGGAAGGAAAGGGATTACCTTCTTCATCTTTCCTCCATAGCCACTGGAAGTAGCTAGATTTGTGGACCAGAAGGCAGTACATAGACAGTACCACAGGCTTCAACTTCAGAACACATGTCCCAGTACCTCTGCAACAAAAAGCTTGCACTCTCAAATTGAGCGCTGCTGGGCTTCATCAGGCAAGTTCAGTTCGGAACACTAATTACAACATGCCATTCTGCTTGTGGCAGGGGTGGGGTGAGGTGAGGTGGGGTGGGGGGATGTCAGCATTTTTACTGCAAGACCTTCATGTGGGGATTTTGTAACACAGCTGTAATCTGTTCACTTTGGACAAAGGCTGGAAGTGAGAAGGGCTGGCTTCTAACCAAGCAGTTCTACTTGTTTAAAGTCTCTCTCTCTCTCTCTCTCTCTCTCTCTCTCTCTCTCTCTCTCT